ATTCCAGTGCCCTTTCTTTTCTTCTTCTTCTTCTTCTTTTTTTTTAATATATTTTTATTGATTTCAGAGAGGAAGGGGGAGAGAGAGAAAGAGAGAAACGTCAGTGATCAGAGAGAATCATGGATCGGCTCCCTCTTGCATACCTTACACTGGGGATGAGCCCGCAACCCGGGCATGTGCCCTGGACTGGGAATCGAACCGTGACCTCCTGGTTCATAGGTCGACGCTCAACCACTGAGCCATGTCAACTGGGCCGGGTGCCCTTTCCTGATCCAAGCGTCTGGGTTCTCTTACTGGGTCAGTCAGTGTTGTCCTGTCAGTGATCCTGGAGGAACTCCAGGGACGGAAAGAAGAGAGGAGGGGTGTTTGCTCACCGGCTTCCTTTTCTCTTTCAGTTTTATGCCTGTGAGATGGTGCTTGAGGAAGAGGGGATCTATGGAGGTGAGAGGAGATGAGAGAGTGGAAAGGGCTGCATATGCAGAAGGAACAGTGTCCTCCCCGCCCTGCCCCCTCCCCTCCCCTTCCTGTCTCATTCCTGCAGGCCCAGCGGGAGGAGAGGTGCCTGAGCATGGAAGTAGGGGGACAGTGGGAGAGGATGCGAGGGCTTATTGCTGTTAACCGCCAGCTGCTCTGTCCTTACCTCCCAAGGCGCCCACAGGGAAATAATGTGCCTTCCCTCCCTGTGTATCGCTCACTGCGTCCTCCACGCAACACCCACCTGCGGGCAGCACCCCCTCAGGCGCTTCAGTGGCCAGGAGAAAGCCCGGATCCTCCCGCGGCCTCCCGCCTCTGCCACCTGGTCCCTTCCCGGCCCCTTTGCCTGTCACGTGCAGCTCCTTTCTCCTGACTCACTCCCCTCCTGCCATGGGGACGTCACACGTGCTTTTCCTGTTGCCCAGAATATTCCCCACCCTACACTCTGCACCCGCCCACATCTTATTTACAGTCGCAGCCTAAAAGTCACTGCTTTAGGGAAGTCTGTCCTGCACCCCTGTGTGAGGTTAGACCCTGAGGTGTTTATGCTCATGGATGGCTTGGGGCACAACTGTAATGAGATCTGCCTGGTGCGCGCCTCTCCCACTAGGCCAGCGGTTCTCAACCTGTGGCTCGCGACCCCTTTGGCGGGCGAACGCCCCTTTCACAGGGGTCGCCGAAGACCATCCTGCATATCAGATATTTACATGACGATTCATCACAGTAGCAACATGACAGTGATGAAGTAGCCACGAAAATAGTGTTATGGTTGGGTCACAACATGAGGAACTGTATTGAAAGGGCCAGAAGGTTGAGAACCACTGGGCTAAACTGTAAGGGTCTCTGCAGGACACTGGGCACATTCATTCTCTTCCCCACTGTGTACCCCAGTGCCTGCACACGCCTGCCTTTCCATTGGTATTTGCCGAGTCAGGAATGAATGTTTCCTTAGAATGAAAACACACCCTTGTCACATCGTATGACAGGCCGCCGTGTACACGTCTCCTTTTGTTACCAGACTGAGCTCCTCCGGGGTCAGGCTGTGTCTCGCTTGCGTTTGAGCGCTGCGCTCGGTGCAGTGCAGGCCTGGGGAGGCGCTCAGACGTCTCTAGGCAACCGGGGGGCCTTCCCCCTGAAGGTGGAGCCCCGTGCCTTCTGCAGGGAGGTGACGTCTCTGTCCCCACAGATGTGAGCTGCGACGAATGGGCCTTCTCTTTGCTGCCTCTCGATGTGGATCTGCTGAGCATGGAGCTCCCTGAATTTTTCAGGGACTACTTCCTGGTAAAGGCGGGGCCCTTGGGCTCGGCATCGACGTCTGGGGGCAAACGGGGGGTCCAGTGGGCTAGCAGTATTGATGCACCTTCATCCAAGTCCTGTCATTTTTAAAAAAATATTTTCTTTATTTATTAAATATATTTTTATTGATTTCAGAGAGGAAGGGAGAGGGAGAGAGAGAGAGAAACATCCATGATGAGAAAGATCATTGATCGGCTGCCTCCTTCGCCCCAACAGGGGATCGAGCCCAAAACACAAGCATGTGCCCTTGACCAGAATTGAACGCGGGACCCTTCCGTCTGCAGGCCGATGCTCTAACCACTGAGCCAAACTGGCTAGGGCAGTCCCGTCAGTTATTGTGCATGAGAGTGATTGGGAGATTGAATGCCACTGATTGTGTCCTTTGGGGCCAGTCACAAGGAACTCTCTCAAGCAATCCCCACGCCCTGCCTCTGTCCCCGGGCTCCAGGGCTAGCGCCGTCCTGATGGGTCTGTCCGGCTGACCCCTGTCCTTGTGGCCCCCGTGGTCCCTGCAGGAAGGAGACCAGCGTTGGATCAACACGGTGGCCCAGGCCTTGCACCTCCTCAGCACTCTCTACGGCCCCTTTCCGAACTGCTACGGGATCGGCAGGTGCGCCAAGGTGAGTGCTGGCAGGGCCCGATGCACCTGCTCTCCCCCACCGTGGACTGTCCACTGCCCGGGGCGTCTGTGACAGGAGGTATATTCTCTTCCTTGCTTTCCCTGTGGCAACATAGTCCTCAGAGATGGGAGCTGGTGTGGCTGACAGAGACGCAAGAGTTAGGGCCTCTTGGGCAGCATTCCTAAATCTCTCTTTTTTTAAAAAAAATTTTTTCACTTTTTTAAATTTTATTTTATTTTATTGATTTTTTACAGAGAGGAAGGGAGAGGGATAGAGAGTTAGAAACATCAATGAGAGAGAAACATCGATCAGCTG